CACTAAACCATATTATTTATATAAATTTGGCCCTTTTTCTTTAAGCTGGCAACTGGATTACTTACTATACAGCAGGACTGCGTTCCTAATCTACGCTCCGAGTGCAACATTTTACCCAGACGATGAAATTTTTGACACAGTATATGAAAATTACGTAAATTTTGACATTTAATGCGTCTATAACTTAAGTTTGGAACGCAGCCCAGTAAAATTCGTCTTTATGGGCAGGCGAAGGAACTAAGCCATACTGCCAATTCTGCAGTACGTTTTGTTTGAAATTTCATTAAAATGCGGATGTAACGCATTTCAATATTATTTTGGTAGTGCATGATAAATATACAAAGACAGTCTAATAGCACTTATTTTAATAATCCCATATATAGTCCAGTTACGTAAATACTTGCGACACGAAACTACACCATTTTTATATCATAATATCCACTCTGATGCCGGCACTTCAATTGGCTATTCGTGTTTGTTATTTGTAAACTTGACATCACTCTGTTCTTTTAATTCCTTGTAAAGCATGCTAAGGACAGACTGTTGTCAAGTTTACAAATGGCAAATGCGAATAGCCAAGTAAAGTGCCGGCATGAAATAATATACGAATTATTAAAACAAGAACAAAACTGAAATCCTTTAATGCCGCCACCAAACATTCTTCACCTACAATCACCCCGCAACCAAAGCCCTATCATCATAACCACAACGTGCATCATATAATGAATGAAAAATTCAACACGACACCACAAAAGACAAAAAAATTAGTATAGGTAGTTACAGTATTTTTTTGGTAGTGTTGCATTGACAAAAGACAAGAACAAAAAACTAGCCTCAAAAACGATGAAACTTTTAACATGATTGTTCGATGCAAAATTGGTAACCTAAAAGTAATAGAATAACACTTTTATCTTTAAAAATAATTTAGATTCTAGTAGGCTAATTAAGTAATTAGAAGTAGTTTAATAAAAGTTTCTGTTTTGAAGGTTAAGTTTTTGTTTACCTTTTTCATTAAAATAGAATAATTCTTATTATGGTGGCAAGTCAATTTCCACACAATAAACTTCATACTTCAGTATTAAAATAATGAAATCGAAAAACAAAGTCTTAAACAAACCTTTGATCAGTAAAGAAAAATGGATACAGCTGATACAGTAGCAACTAGCAAAGCAGGTTAGTCGCTAATAGCTAGTTCGATTCACTCACAAGCAACTAGAATACTATATAAAAATAGGTAGAGAAAATGAAATAGTCACTAAACTCAAAAATATTTAAATTACTGAGATGTGTACGTTGCGTGGAACATACAGATTAGCGATGGGGTCACTGCGCGCGAAAAAGGATCTGTGCATTTTACCGTGTCGTGGCGCGCCGGTTTCATACATTTATTATGGGTTAGAGAGAGAGGTTAGAGCATCGACACACACGTAAATATGTTTCTAACCATAGTAATGTATGAAACCGATGTGTGTCGTGGAGCGTTATCTAAAAGGGACGGAAAAGGGACGGAATATGTAAGAGGACATCGAAGGGACGTTTTGATGACAAAAGGGACGACAATCGTCCTTTTTGGGACGTTCTGGCATCGCTGCAGTCCAAGGTTTTTTTTTTGATTATTCAAGACCATGGATACAAGTCCTTCAGTTGCAGTGTTGCCAACTCGGATTTTGAAAAAGGCGTACGCCCGATGAGAAAATTACGTAGAATTAGTAAATTTTGCATATGAAAAGTACGTAGATCTACGTACTTTTGTATGAGTGAAATGAAGAAGGTGAAACCGAATGAAACGAGATTTTGTTATACAATATCTTTATAAACGGGAGATAGAACAAAGAGTTCTTGAAGAAGTCGCTGCATTGGAAGCATTTACCATGCTGTGGTAGACATTTACCATCAGACACACACTGGTGGTTGTCGATTCTGGCATGATTCTCTAAATTTAAAAATAAATTGAACATCAGTCTCTTCTTTTCATTCTGTATAGAGAATGACAAGGATACACTGTTGTTCAATGGGCTGGTTGGCACTTTTTGGAATTATGTTTTGAATTGTTAATAATTGTTCTACCAGACCGAAAAAAAAGTATTTCTTTTTTTTACCTAGAAAGCTACTAAACTTTAATTTTAAAATAGATTTTGCATGGACATACAAAAACGCTATTTAGTCTATAGACTAATCTATGCTATGACGTCAAAACATTTGTAAACCAACACTCGCAAGCACGTAGGAAATAAACTTTCTGAGTTAATATTATAAAACCATGATTTCTAATAGATCACATGAACAATATAGTAGTTATCATAATACATGGTAAAAGACTAGAAAGGTTGTGGTTTAAATTGCCGAGAGAAAAAAAAATACTTACACATGAACACATGTTTAAAACTTGCTAAATCCTGTAACTTTATAGACTGAAAGTCATTTCTTTTTGCAAAGATCAATTCGATGTAAGTACTCATTGATTAATATTTAAAGTTTAAAACTTCAATTTTTAAGGTTATGAATGTACCTACTCAGTCAGAGTTTTGTGGCTTCTCCTTTCACAAATCCTGCGTCCAGCATTAATTTAGTCAAAAAAATCAATGACGGCAACAATTTCTACAAGATACAAGAGTTTTTAGATAGATCTTTATAAGAAATAAACATTTGTATAGCAAAGTAACGGGAAATATTCTTCTTTATTCTAGTGAATTAAGCTATTTTAAAAATTTGAAAGAATTAAAGAAAGTACGTAGATTCTGGGACTGAAGTTAGTAGGTTTGCAGAAAAGGCCTAAAATACGTAGATCTACGTAAAAAGACGTAGAGTTGGCAACACTGTTCAATCGTATACATAAATACAAATCTTAATCTTCTTGTTTACATTAGAATGTCGGTGGGACGCATTCTAATACTTCTTGGAGTGTTTGGTACTAATAGTCCAGACAAGGAATGCTCAAAAACAGGTATAGAGGGAAATGCTTGGAACACAATTTTTGACTTCGTAACTTTGTTAGGACTAGTTAGAAGGTAAACATATCAAAAGTCCCCTCCCGTAGCCCTTAAGCCGGGGGAAGGGGGGGACTGAAGGTCCCATTTTTAGGTTTTTTTGCATATATCTCGAAAACTATACATCCTAGCGACATGAGACTTTGACAAAAGTGAAAGCTGATTAAATTTTCTACAAGTCTTATTCAGTCAAGTTTTTTGATATCTTGTATAGTTTTCGAGATATCCGATCTTGAAAGTCTGTAATTATGGAAAAAAAAATTGCCACCACTTCCTGGGAATGCTGTTTTGCTGCTCCCTCGGTGGGAGGAAGACAAGAGATATCAGGCTTGATGGTGGCCACTGATTTCAAGAATGACTTGTACCTGTAGGCATTGAGGGAAATCTCTTTCGCTGGAGCTCCATACCACCTTAAGATGCAGATTTCACCTGCCTTTTGTACTTGAGCGGTGGTGGAGAAAGGGTGTGAAAAGACCGTTGCTGCTTTCTGGATTTCTGGTGACTTGATAATGTCTCTGGTCTCTGGGAAGGGAGGAAATTTCTCAAACCAATCGGTGAGCTTGGCAATATCAGCTCCATCCTTGTTTTGGCGGGCTTGTCCGAAATCTGCATGCTGCTCACTGGTGGGACCAACAACCCTACGGCCGGCATTGTTGAATAGTTATCCGGTCAAATAGATTTTTTTTTCCATAATTACAGACTTTTAAGAGCGGATATCTCGAAAACTATACAAGATATCAAAAAACTTGATTGAATAAGACTTGTAGCAAATTTAATCAGCTTTCACTTTTGTCGAAGTAGCAGGTCGATAAGATGCATAGTTTCCGAGATATATGCGAAAAACCTAAAAATGGGACATTCAATCCCCCCCTTCCCCCCGGCTTAATATACTTTTGATATGTTTACCTCCTAACTAGTCCAAACAAAGTTACGAAGTCAAAAATTGTGTTCTAAGCATTTCCCTCTATACCTTTTCGTTGCCTGGACTATAAATGTATCGAGTTGGTTTTTTCGATTAGCTTCTGTGAGGTAGTCAACACTACAATAAAGTTCTTACGTCCACTTGACCGCAATAGCGTATATTTTAAAGATTCCACTAATTCTTCAGTTGCGCAGATGGCTGTAAAATCACACCAATTTTATTTCACAATATACACTATGAACGAATTTAAGAATAATTGAAATAAGACGCCAACCTCATTCGATGAAATCCCGCCAAAAACTCCCGGCTCCAAGGATTTAGAATTTTGATATCGAATTCAGACATTTTTTTATTTATGACCTGGTAACAAATACCAAAGGTCATAACTTATTTGGAAATAGTTCATTACTTTGGAGTCACTACACTTCACTAAATTTCGTCATGTAAATTGTTTGAATTGTTTTTTTTATGTAACTATAAATAGGTTTATAGAATGTTGGATCTTTTAGTAAAACGAAGACATTGACTTTAAGTGTGACACACAGTACAGACAGATGACGAGATGGCCATTAAGTATCATAGACAGGGGCAGGAGCGTATTTACCCCAGGGCTAAGAGAGCCATGGCCCGGGGCGGCGCGGCAGGCTGCAAGAGCTGCGAGGCACGACAGAAGCCATCTAAAGGCATTGGTTTCTGAGGTATATTTTTGATTGATTTATTTTAAAAAAAATACGCTCCTGATCCACACTGATCATAGAGAGGACTAGGGTTAGGGGTTATTACTTAACATAAACCATTGAACTGATTTCATAGGTCTTGGTAGGTCTAAGGCCGCGATGGTTGATCGATAGCAAAATTTTGCTATAGTCTTTATAGATGAAACAAAGTCCATGGTGTCATCCTATTAGAAAGTGATAAAAGGCCTCCGTTTCTTATCTCTCATCATCACTCCATAGAGAGTGTGATAAGGACAACCTGCCATACCGTTAAAATAACAAATAGCAAACTCGAATAGCCTAGTGAAATGCCGGCATTAGACTACCAATATGTCATTGGTTGGCCATTGGACGTAAAGTTTCTTTATCATCTGTGATGTTGTCATGTTGGTATACTAATCTGTACTCTCTTTTTAGACAAATCTCTGTAATCTGTGGTGTTCTTTTAGAAATCTGTGGACTGTGGTTCTAAAATATTATCACGTTTGCTTTCATTTCCATTAGAATTTTCACAATTTTATACCAAGTGTGCACAAAATAAATAAGAAGAACTTGCCTTAGAAGGAACTCCGCTTAGTACAAAATAATAGTAAGCAAATTTTGTATTTATACTCTGATACCCGAGGTTGCTACTGCTACCTGTTTACTTTTTAATAGTGATACGGCTTTGGAGAATCCTTAGCGAATTAATTATACCTACTGACTTTCCAAAAAAACACCAATGTAAAGACATGTTACACGTGAGTGTAATTTTTAGGTTTATAGTGTAATTCTAATAACCTAAACCAAAAGATTGTTCTTATGTGATGAGGTTAATTTACTATTATTTTGTTATTTAGACACCTTTACTTTTTAGTCAACGTTCTTTTAGGACCCTATTTCATTTTTAACTTTACTCAGATTTGTGATAATTCTACAATAAATTAACTGAATGTTACCATTCTGCATGTATTTTATGTGATAAATATGTTGAATTTGGAAAATTTAATGTTTCTAGTGAGTATGGTTCCAACTTAAGAATTGATATTTCCATGTGCATAACTAAAATGATAACTTTATAAAATGAATGTGAAATATGAAACACTCATCAGTTTATATTATAATATTCCCTCCCTTAACAACCTTCTATGCATAGATAATGTTCTTTATTAAGATACTTGCATTTCCATAATTCAGTATACACTTAGCGCCAGTTTTGCATATAATATGCTATAATATAGTAATAAAATAGTTTCCTGCATAGAATTCCCCCATGTTGACATCTAGTACTTACATGGGCATTACTTACTAAGCAATGTATATGTTACGCTCAAAGATCCAAAACGCTCAGTGAGCGGAAAAATAGCTCACAACGCGTTGTGGTCACAATATGGTCTTTGAGCTTAACATATACAAAAACTGCTGTTTTTCCTAAAGGAAATTGAATAAATGGTTGCACATCTGAGACAGTTGATCTTCGTTTGCTATAATCCTGCCACAAATACATTCTTAAAAAGTACTTATATAAATTTACATTTTACCTACATTCATAATTACTGGTACTGAAGAATAATTTGATTAATTTCTTTATAAATCAAATGAATGACAACAAATTTGAATCTAAAGCCAATAAAAAAAAGTACTTCCAGACCCCACAAATACAGTTTGGGCATATTAATTATTCTTAATTTTATTTGAAAATGTTTTCTGGTTTACCAAAATTATTTTGTGGTTTCATTTTAATTAATGTTTCATTCTTATAATAAATTATAAGATTTATATCTTGTCAAACATAGTTTGACAAGATTTAAATTGCATGTTTATTGCATTTGCATGTTATTGATTGACAGCTACAGTACAAACTTAAGGATCTTACAATCTAGCATTATAAATGCAACCATATTTGATAAACATCTTTATTATTAATCTATTTGCTTTGTTTTTCAATTGTAGTATTTGTATGCAGTGCATTTTTTCCTATTTTTTCATATTATTTGTTTATATACTTTTTCATTTATATTGTTCATAAAGTCTTTATTTGCTTAATCATGTGTATATTAAAAAAAAGTGATTTGTATTTACAGGTACATAATTTGTAGTTGTTTAAGAAGAAAACCCAAGAATGGGTAAAGAGTAAGTGTACTGATGTTTTACATTATTTTATTATTGTGTCCAACATACCTGACTAGAATTAATTTAAAGTATTACTCTGTTTTAATTTTATAAAACCCAAGTACTAATTACAGTATAATCTCACTAATCCGGCACTTCGATAGATCGACACGTCCAATAATCCGGCATCCTCAATCCATGCCTCCCTCGCCCCTCTACACCTGTGCACTTGGATTTGTTAGTGATTAGTAAAGCAAATATCCCAGAGCTTTCAAGAATATTTGTGTGCCAGTCTTTTTGTTTCAATACCTGCATAACATGGGCAGAAGAAAACAGCATGTCTGCCAAAGATATTATAATTCTTCGCAACATGCGAGAAAAGATTTTTAAGCAAGGACTACAAGTTGCACAAAAGCAGACCTCAATTAAGGATTATTTTAAAACTATGTAATTCCATATGTATGTATTGTTAAATTAATACATTACATACAATATTCAATCTATGAAATGTTTTATTTTATTTGTTACATACGACTTTTTCACTATATTCCACTAATCCGAACATTCCAATAATCCGGCACCCACCAGTTTTTAATAGTGCCGGATTAGTGAGATTATACTGTAGTATCTTTTTATGGTACCACTGAGTACCTCAGTTAGCCCCTGGACGTGGTAAAAACGCGTTATATGATATATTACGCGTTTTTACCACGCTCAATTGTCAAATTGCTATGGAGTTTGACAGTTAGACGCGATAAAAAACGTAATATGTAAATTGTGGTGCTCATGCTATGGGGACAGGATTACTAATCAAAATCAGTTTCTTAAAAATAATGAATGCTGAAGAAATACTTTTTATCTAGTCTTATTCTAAAACAAAGGGTAATTTTAAATAACTTTTGTCTATACTTTATGTATGACATTTATCAAATGTAACTGTCAAATTCCGAGTCCATTTTCATGCTAGAGCAGAAGTGTCCAAGTAAGCAGCATTTGCAGCAGCAGTGAGTTTAAATAGAGTTGGCTGTATAATAATGTTACCAAAATAGATAATTACTTGACAACATAAAATGAACAATGCTGATTTTAAAATGACTATTTATATCGACATTGTAGCGAGTCAGATCAAAATAAGGTATAACATAAAAAAACAATTACACATGTTTCAGTAGCATAGTATGAATAATCTGATGAATTACTTTTACCCTTAAAATATTACTTTATCATTAATGTCAACGTTACAGAATTGTTCATTCTCTTGTCAAGGAAAATCATGAAGCTCTCCAAGAAACACAAAAAAAAACAGTAAGTATAATCAATCTCCTTGTTCCAGAACTAAACTTGATTCTGAGAAATCAACAGCAGGCGAGAGTATTGATGATGAGCACAAAAAGAAAAAAAAGAGTAAAAAGCATAAGAAACGTAAAAGGCAAACTGAAGATGACGACGAGAAGGGTTATAAGAAGAAAAAGAAGACTAAGAAAGAAAAGTACAAAAGCCCTAAACCAGAAAGTGAGACATCACTTTCAGATGTCGAAGAGCTAATTAAAAAGTCTAGGCAATGTAAGCCGGTTCCAAAGTCTATATCTACAAATTCCCCTCTTACAGATTCTGTAGAATCTATGTATCAAAAAACAAAGAATGGAGACGCATCTAATGGTAAAACCCGAAGTAGTAGTAGGAATTATGTGAGAAAAAAAACTGATTTGAAGGATGATGCCTTAGAAATTATCTCTTCTAATTCAGAAACAGAAAATTATCAAGAGGACTGTGCAAGTCCTGAACTGACTATGATAGAAGATGATTTAAATCTAGAGGAGCTCATGAAACAAAAGGAGCTTCTGCAAGCAAGACTAGTTGCATATTTTTCTGACAAAAGTGAAGATGAAAGCGATAGAGGCGCAAATAGTAAGAGTGATGTAATATGTATTAATGATGATAAGTCACCATCACATAAGAGATCGAAGAAAGACCGTGAACATGATCATAAGCGAAGCAGTAAACATAAGTCTAGTTTAGACACATCAGTAGAAAGAGAAAAACACAAAATAAAAAGGCATGAGGAAGACCTTAGGGAAATAATTAATAGGGAAAATAGGAAAGAGATGGAAAAAAGATTGGAAGAGAGGGAGTATAGAGACAGAAAAGAAAGGGAACGTCGTAAGCTTCTAGAAGCAGAAAGGGAGAGAGAGCGTGAGCGAGAAAGAGAGCGTGAACGAGAAAGGAAGAGAGAGCGGGAAAGGGAGCGAGAGAGGGAAAAGGAGAGGGAGAGAGAAAAGGAACGCGAGCGTCGGTCTGCAGAGTTGAGGCGAAGGGAACGGGAGGCGACGAGACATCGCAGATCTCGAGACCGCTCGCCGGCGGGGCGGCGCGACCGCTGGCAGGCCGACCGCGACCGACGCTCGCACGACCGCAGCCGGGAACAACACAGAGACCGCTCGCGGGACAGGGGCTCACGGGGTGAAAGGGACAAGCGAAAGGTATACGACGTTCGTTTGCTACTACGCGACCTTACACGAATTCATACTCACACCAAATAATAGAATATGAAAATAAAATAATATTTTCTTACAGAATTCTTCCAATGAAGTTGCTCACATAGTTCCGAGTTCCAGTGATGAAGAACTGGACATCTCCATGAATACCGATGAAGAAGAGGAAACTGAGGAGCAAATAATTGAACGCCGTCGAAAACAGAGGGAGCAGCTCTTGAAGGCAAATCAATATTTATTTCTATTTTCTATGTTATGACTTGTATTATTTTTCATTGCTAGTTTTTTGTGCGAGTTAATGAGAATTTGTAAATTCTGCAGAGACTCGGCGGTGAAACTACAGCCACGACCCAAACAAGTGAAAGCCAACAAAATAGCAAATCTACAGCTCACAAAACTGAGCAGAAGTCAAGTAAAGATTCCCAAACGCCAGACGTCAACGTGTACCGCGATGACTCGCACAGTAAGCTGGAAAGTATTTCAAAGAGCGACAGCCAGATGATAAGGAACATTGAGAAGGAGAATGAGTCAAAGACAAGTATGAAGTTGGAGAAGTCGAACAAGGGGGGCGAGTGGGACATGTTCGCAGACCAAGACAACTTCAGTGTGGACGTGAGTATAAAAGAGGTTGAAGATTCTTTATTTCTTTTTAAAATAATATATACGGGTACGGCATACATGTATATGCGCGCTAAGACATCGGATATACAGATGCCACTAGGCATTTGGAAAGCATTTTCTTAAGTTAAAGTTTTTACTAGACAAAATTTCTCTTGCTTGTATACTGTTTGGGATCTTGATGATGGTCAACAATATTCCTTCTTATTAGATTAATACATGAAGAAACATCTTTGCAACCCTTTCTTAGCATATTGTGTGCGAGTCATGAACTCGCACTGTAATTTTGATATCAAATTAAATAAAACATTGCATGATGCCATATTTATTCGCGCACGCACTACTGTATTCGAACATAATGAATGTATACAGTAATGTGTAAGAGAACACAATTCAGGAAATTACTTTGCAATTGTTTTAGAAATGTACTTTAACAGCAGAACCGCAATTAAGTTCATACTTATTATGGCTACTCCGGGAGCCCTAATTGTTTGGAAAAGTATTATAAATTTAGGTAATTTATAATACTTTTCCAAACAATTAGACAATTACCTGCATATGATGCAGGTAGTGTTCAATGTAATGATGATCCAATTATTTCAGACACCTACAGCGGGCAAGCCAAACAGCAAGAGTGCATTGGAAAACCCATCACTCACAGACAACTGGGATGACGCAGAAGGCTATTATAGGTAAGATGCAATCATCAGTTATGAATTTTATGAAATATGCATAAGAATTGATTTAATTGAGAAGAATTAATATACTTTGGCCATGACATTTTACAGGTTCTAGTTGATATAAATATTGCTATTCAACGAGGCCTCACATTGATTTTTGCTTCATACATATAATAATAGAATCATTTTCCTGTTTAAAGTCAGTAAGGCGTCCACTAGACGGTAGATTTGCAAGCTGACAGCTTGCGGGCAGTCAAGGTTATTATTAATGGATATCCTGTTACCTAATAGGGCACTGATGACTTTTCACTCACAATCCGTTTTTATCATTTGTATCTGAAGGAATTTACTGACGGCTGTATGAGCCTACGACTAGCGACGCCTTACAAACGTAAGTCCTTGTACATCGGTACGCGATAATAACCCAATCACCGTAGCTACACACATCAGCGGGCCGGCATAAATCGACACCTACTGGCGGTAAAGTCGAATAAATGTAGATTATTGTTCGGTACAACAATTGCAGTAATTAATAATAATAATAATAATAAATATATCTTTATTCAAATAAGGTCATACATTGCATAATAATACTAATCTATACTTATAATAAATCTGTAGAGAGGTCAATTCTGTACATGAAATTTATTTTCAAAATAACTATCAGGGGGTGATTAGTGATCGATACTGATGCCAAAAATGCAATCAGTAAATTTTTTGTCTGTCTGTCTGTCTGTCTGTGTGTATGTTCCTTATAGAAACAAAAACTACTCGACGGATTTTAACTAAACTTGGTACAATTATTCTTCATACTCCTGGGCAGGTTATAGTATACTTTTCATCACGCTACAATCAATAGCAGCAGAGTAGTGAAGGGAAATGTTGGGAAAACGGGAGAAGTTACTCCATTTTTTAAGCTTCCGTCGCGTGTGCAGCCTTAATGGTTAAAGTTACATAGAAATCATGTATGACGGAAATATTCTACATTAAATTGTCTAAAAAATATCCCGCAACAGCATATGTCTATCTTTTATGGTTAACTCACAATAACACGTGTAATTATATAAATAAAGTCATTGTTTATAGCACAAGCCTGAGAATAAAAACTATAGTTTACATTACAGCTCTACACCGAAGCGAAGCGAGGGCGGGCCACTAGTAACAATATAAAATACAAAATAATGGATGCCTGAACTAGGTTACTGTTAAAATTGTACCTGTATTTCAGGCTTTTATGATCTAAATAATACATTGAATGATTAATAAATTAACAAATTAATTAAAAGAGAACTTAAAGTAATCATTATATAAATGTTGGTAAATGTAAATTATGGAGTTACGTTCATTTATTTACAAATAAGAAGTAATTCTTCGGTCTGCTCGTATGTCAGGCTGTGCAAATAATTAAATACTACAGTTCTACAGTTAAAATAGTTTAATGTATAAATACCTAATACTCTATTTAACTTATTATATAAGAAAGGACTTAGGAAAGTAGAGAATCTATGTGAAAAGATGTATTTTGACTCATGTGTAGAGATGCAGACTATATCTTTCCGTCTTTTGTTAGTGATATCAGAGCAAAAAGGTGAAATGGTGTGTTGTTTTAATATGGTGTGCATAATGAAAAGCTGGCGAACAGTTAACACATTACAGTATTTGTAAAGTGGATGCGTAGGATATAAGAAGGGAAGTGAATTGGCTACTTTTAAAATGGCTCTCTGAGCTCGCTCGAGAGGGATTAAAATAGTTTTATTTAAATACTTTGGGCAGGTTTTGTTGTTCGACGAATACTGCCGAATCGAATATGTGTGTAGATACCCTTACACAACACATACCTGTTCGTTTAACACGGGGCAGGGTGTGTTCTCCTACGAGAAACATGTGAACTACGACAATATTTCTTAGTTCGAATTCGGTTTTGGCCTGCAACACATTACAGCATAAGTCCTGGGCCCCAATTCTCGCGGCGTAGATATTATATCGGCTTCGAGATAATAACGAAAGTAGGGATATCTATTGAAAATATCTACTGATGGCAAAAAATGCTATTCTCGTGGATTTTCGATATTGTAATGATAATATATCTATCGTAGACATTCGTTCACTGCCGAATTCGTTCCGTTTTTCTCGATTGAGTTAACATAGCGATGCGCGACTTAGAATAATACTAATACTAATCATTCGACTCCACGAATCATTCGACTAAGTCGACTGCGCTTTATATCATTCGACTGGAGTCGAAGGTATCGGGCGGCGCGCATCGCACGCAGCGACATTTGATATTAGCATTACTAATTAGTAGTCGTTATTCGAATAATGACATTATTATACTACTAATTTGCCTTTCGAATAGCCAAATTAGTAGTTACGAATTAGTCGAAAGGTAAAATCATTCGTAGTCGCGCATCGCTAATTAACATCATAGTCTATATAAAATAATAATAAATTAAAGCAGTATTTTACAAGCAAAAAAATTATATTTTATGAATGCTTATATTATATTAAATATGAGTTTACATTTTTTGAGTATAAAAATTGTATGATATTGTATGCGTTTAAAATTCAATTTTATGTATAATGAAACGCCAATTTTTTTAAGATTCTTCCTTTTTAGGGAAGGCAAAGAGAACAATGCCCATACAGCGTAGTTTTTAGTTATATTAATCTTCTTTTTTTATATTAGAATGTCGGTGTGACACCGTTCTAATAAGCTTCTGTGAGGTAGTGAACACTACAATAAAGTTCTCACGTTCACTTGACCGGAATGGCGTATATTTTAAAGATTCCACTAATTCGTCAGTTGCGCAGACGGCTGTAACACCAAATCACACCAATTTTATTTCACAATATCCACTATGAACGAATTTTAGAATAATTAAAATAAGACGCCAACTGCACTCGTAGGAATCCAGCCAAAAACTCCGCATCGTCAATAAGAAAACGTCATTCATAACTTTATTTGTCACTTTTATTTGTTAGGTTAAAGATTTCTAACCAAATTTTTGTTTAATCGTAATTTTTTTATGAAGTCTGCGTCTCTCATTTCAAATGGGTCCTCATGCTCTCACAACGGCGGCGCGGCGCCTTAGCACAGCAGCAGCAGTGACTTCATTTATTAAGTCATTGATGCCGATTTTAGCATGATTCTCTAAACCTAAACTTAAATTTGACAGCAGTATATCCTTGTCATTCTCTATAAAGAATGAAAAGAAGAGACTGATGTTAAATTTAGTTATAAGTTTAGAGAATCACGCCAGAATTTACGATCATTTACGAAAACATGAATCAACTCATCCATCGTTAATATATATTGTTTACCTACTTCTTTATTTACTAATTATTTAAGAAGGCAGTTAACAACATCTTAAGTAACAATAATTGGCAATGACACACGAAAACACAATAAATAATTGCTAAAAAAAGTGAAAATGACAAGATTGGTGTTGATTCTGGCGTAATTTTTTAAACTTAAAACTAAAGGACAATGTTAAAATTGGCCTAAGAACCAACACCAATTAGGCATTTATGATAATTCTTAGTATATTTTTTGCGATAATTATCAGTATTTAGATTGTCACGGACACTTCCAGTTAAGTAAGCTAAATTAAAAAGTTAAAAAATAATCTGAGATAATAAATACCATTTTATGTATATGATCTATGACAGCGCTGCAAACAAAACACTCTTTCTTCCTAATGCCGGCACTTCACTTGGCTATTCGTATTTGATATTTGAAAACATGACATCAGTCTGTCCTTTTCATTTCTTATTAAGCATGACAAGGACAAACTGTTGTCAAGTGAAGGGCCGGCATAAAACTCGATAATCTGTGGTTGTGGTGCAGGCAGTTTGCATTCGTAGTAATCTGTGGCATTCGTGCATTCTCGTTTCGGATTACCTGTTGTGTGTGTTTATTTGCGATTGAATAGGGAAGATGCATATATAATATTTATGAAAATTTTATGATTAAAATGTTAAAAAAATATAAAAGAAATGCCACTGCAACGTTTTTATTTTACATAATGTTGTTTTTTAACAATTATTACGATTTAAAAATACTTGAAACGGAACGTATTTTAAAACACCAATCAGCGTTTAGTGACGTCACTCCTGTGAGGTTATGGCTGTTATAGTAAATATTATTTTATGGGAATATTTATTGCGTTTTTTTACATTTAATAAAAATGGAAGTTTCGTTTATCAAAGCAGACTCCAGGAATTTACCAAGAGTTAGCGTTGACATGGTTATAACTTTTTTGTCCAAAGTGCAGAGTTTTTAAGTGTAGAAATGAAAGGGACTAAATTACTACGGTATGTAAAAATCGTAGTTGTTAGACTTCGTATTTTATTCAGCGGCTTCTACAAATCTTACGGCGATAATGCAATCGGCTATGTCTAAATTAAAAGAGATGGAGAATTATGTACAGTAGAAGGTAGAGTTCTCCGGAGCATTCTCCAACTGTAAAATTAAAAATATGTTATAGACAGGTTTTGTAAATATTAGGTAGGTTACTAATGCGTTTTTACGTACAAGCAAATTAATTAAGCATGTAACAAGTATATTCGCCGACGTACGTCAAAGTGATCTTCTCAGCATCGAATAATGGTCTTTGGAGAATAATTGTCATTTCTCTTCGCAGCTTGAAACCACTTTTTTTCAGTTTTGGGTCAGAAGTTCCAGTCAAAAACAATTTATTTGGGAACTTTGTTGAAGTAGATTGGCATAAAACATGAGTCAACACGGCTTTTTTTCGGAATATTAGTGGTATTGTTATGATCACATGATGTTGATGGATAGTCCATTTTAAACTTTTCGAAAAAAATATTTCGAAAGTCGAAAAAATAAGCAAAAGTATGAAAATTTAAAGCCAGCAACGAACAAGTACGACCAGTGACAGACAGGAGTGACGTCATCGCAACCATAGGTTCGTTTTTGCGCGAAAATTTTTAATTGTCAATTTAAAACCGCATTATATATCTGTGGTTCTACATGGAATTCTTTAAAATGAAAACAAAAATAAAAGTATTGCATCTTCCCTATTTATCTATTACGGCTATCTATTATGCCATCGATGTTACGAAAGAGCAGAGATCTTATTACCAAGTGCTAGTGAATCTGTGCCACTACATCCTGAGAGGATCATACTGCCAAATTATTCAAGAGCACCTGATACACATTGACGCTGCATATTTACACAATATACAAATACATGTGATATACAAATAAATACAATATGATAAAATTATGTGAAAATAGTCAATAAATAAGAAGCAAATCTACAATTTTTATTATATTCATGCTTACTACCTAACCAAGTTTTTTCTAATAGTTATTCTTTAAAATCGCTCCGAATATACTGAATTAGTTGTAATATTAATTCACTTCATACTGAGTTCATAGGTTCAAAGGTTAAACTAAGTTCAAAGGTTGACCTATGCTTCATTGAATATGAAACATAACCTCAATTTTTTTTTGTTTTCCTAATAATTTAAGTTCTCAGAAGTGTCCGTCAATAATCCTTGTTTTTACAGTCATTAACTTGCGAATCCGATACTAGAAAATAATATTTCATGATTGTTGGTTCTTAGGCCAACTATGTATGGACGCAGAACAATGTCCTTTAACATCAGTCTCTCCTTTTCATTCTGTATAGAGAATGACAAGGATACACTGTTGTCAAATATGTTTAGATTTAGAGAATCATGCCAGAATCGTCACCATTGACAAGCCAAGATCCATAGATATTTATGTGTCGAAGGCTCTTTACCAGTCGATGTATGTATGTCTTCTGATCATCCGTAGATAAAAATCTAATGGTGAGAATAGGGCAAAAAGATTTTCCTTCGATAAAAGCCAGTTCATTCGATATATATCGAAGGTGATATAATATCTACGCCGCGAGAATTGGGCCCCTGGTTCGTTGGCACGAGATAATAAACCTATATCACCGTCGAACAGGGTTTGTATCGGTGAAACGTTGTACAACAAATACAACGTGAACGGTTTTACGGGGCAGGCAGGGCGTGTTCTCCAACGAGAAACAAGTGAACTACTATAATGTTTCTTATATAGTTTGAAGTCGGTTTTGGGCTGCAACGCATTGCAGCGCAAGTCCTTGTGCGTTGACATACGACAATAACCCATATCACCGTCGAACAGGGTTCGTATCGGTGAAACGTTGGACAACAAATACAACGTGTACGGTTTTACGGGGCAGGCAGTGTGTGTTCTCCAACGAGAAACAAGTGAATTGCGATAATGTTTCTTATATACATAGTTTGAAGTCGGTTTTGGGCTGCAACGCATTGCAGCGCAAGTCCTTGTGAGTTGGCACACGACAATAACCCATATAACCGTCGAACAGGGTGCGTATCGGCGAAACTTTGGACAGTAGATACAACGTGTACGGCTACACGGGGCAGGGCGTGTTCTCCAACGTGGTGCGCGCGCGCGACCAGGCTCGCAGCAACACCGACGTGGCCGTCAAGATCATACGCAACAACGAAATTATGTGAGTTCTCTTCATGGATTATTTGTTTATTTATTTATCAGCCTATTAATGTCCCCACTGCTGAGGCACAGGCCTTCCCTATGGATGGAATAGGGAAATTGGGCCGGGACCCACCACGCGGGCCCAGTGCGGATTGGCGGGTGCTAACTACTGCAGATGCAGCCAGGACCAACGGCTTAACGTGCCTTCCGAAGCACGGAGGAACTCAATATAGAAGATTTTTGGTCACCCATTCAATGACCGACCACTGCGAAAGTTGCTTAACTTCAACTATCGCAGCCGAACGCGCTAACCACCCGCGCCATCGAGCTCCTCTTTATTTATATTCAAGCTTATTTACTTGTACGTTCTTCTTTGTTCAAACACAATTGCAAAGCGGTCGTGGTAGTTACAACTGTTATTTCAGCGTCATAGGGCGGATTCAATGGTGGTGACCCGCCTTACAAAGCGACGCCATATTTGCATCATGGCTGCTTTTGCTATGCTTATTTACTTCACTGCCTTATTTATTTTATTCAGGTTTGAATGTAAAGAAAAAAAAGCTAGTATTTCTTTTTTTTTAATTTAAACATCTAGCAGTTAAATAAAACTATTCAGGTGGTTGTAGTTAAACTGCTGTGAATGTGTTTGAAATGCAGTGCTTATCATGCGAAGCCCAAGTGGCCCATTCAGTAGTGGCAGTTATATAATTTTTGCAATGCCCAGTCATAGAATGTGACTAAAATTTTACTATCTCGAACTTCGCATTGTTCTGAGGTTGTTTGTAAAACCGTTAGTACATTAATACACACCAATCCGCCCGCGTGGTCATGCATGGCTCATTCTCCTTATTACATCCGAAGGGCAGATCTGTTAATTCAGGGGTGTGCTGTTTTGTATGCACTCTACTAGTCTATATAGTATTGGTCCATGGTATAAGTTAACAACATACATGTACATTGTGTAAAAGAACGAATACTTGCAGTATGTATTTGTAAATTTATCTATCTCTATACCAAAATTCATCATAAACTATTCAGCGTAACTGCGATATAAGTGGTGTCATAGAACTATTTAAATCCTTCTAATCGCTTTCCTTCGCAGGCACAAAACCGGTCTTCGCGAGCTGGAGATCTTGAAAAGACTGAACGACGCCGACCCCGACGACAAGTTCCATTGTCTTCGCCTGTTCCGACACTTCTTCCACAAACGCCACTTGTGTATGGTGCTCGAGCCATTGTCCATGAACCTGCGCGAAGTCCTCAAGAAGTACGGCAAGAACAGCGGCATACACATTAAAGCGGTCAGAAGTTACACCCAACAGATGCTGCTGGCACTCAAACTGCTAAAGAAAACGGGCATTTTGCACGCTGGTAAGTTTTCATAGACAATTTTGATATCATTTTTATTTGTTTGAACAATAATGCTAACTTCAGAATTGTAAAATAAGCAACAAGCATGTTTATTTGTTCAATCGATCTGTATTTTGTTTTGTAATTTTATTAGTAATCAGGCTATAAAAATGCAATCACTATTTAACTAATAGTAAAAAGCTTACTTTTATTAGAAAATATGCAATGAAATATCTACCGTTCTAAAGTTATACTAACAAATAATTTGTTCGCATATCCAATCGTCTATTTCAAGCTGCTGAAGTTTTACTTAGGGGGCGTCCATTAACTCCGTGAGATGTTTAAGTGGAGGAGGGGGTCGAGTCAAATCGCATCTAATCTTACATTGGTGGGGGGTTGGGGCAAATATCACGCATTTTTTTTCTGATTGAAATAAAAAAAAGTAACTATTTGGTCCATTTAATAAATAAATAAAAAAACATGTACAATATGATGCTTAAGATTTAATCTTAAGCGTAATCGTAATACGATTAAGATCATTCACTAATTCGTTCGAAAGAAAATAATTTCATTTATTACTCTGCGCAAGCGCCAACGGCTTAGGTTGGCTAGATCAGAACGAAGTTAAGGAGCAGATGATTTTTCTGAAAATCATGTGGACATGTTGGTTCCAATAGTCTCTCTTGAGACCGCGCATGATTTTCCATGGACTAAATTAGAGTAGATATTCTTTTTTTAATCACAGTAGTTGCTATTTAAGTATTCTATTGTTAATTTTTATTACACTTATAAGTGTCGCCGCACACGGGCCACCGACTACAACCACAAAACACCGCCACCGGCATATTTCTTGTAGTTTTCATACATTTTATATGGACTCGCCACACACGATACGCCGGTGGCCGCCACACGCTACAAATCGTCGTTGCTCGCTTCTTGTAGGCCGTACCGGCCACTTAATACGCCGATACAAAACGCCGCCACACGTCACTCGCGCGAATCCCTACCCCTCTCTCCCTTACTTTAGTCGGCCGCAGTCGCGCTTCAGCCACTTTAGTAGCCGCTTCTAGCTTCTCGTGGCGGCGTTTGTGGCTGTGGTGTGTGGCCCGTTTGCGGCGACACTAATTCTCAGCAGTATCGATTACTAGTCGTAAATAAAAGCATGAAGCATTTTTTTTTGTTTTTTCAATAACAATCCAACGCATTTACGTTAGAAACCCACATTTTGAAAAATCTCACGTGAGATTGGGGAATGTGCATCTAAATTGAGCGATTCTTGTTTAGTTTTCAATAAAACCAAGACGTACGTTTAGTGTAAAATTGTCAAAACTCATAACCGAAATCAAAAATTTTGACACTCAAAAGCGATCGAAGATATTGCCTAAAATGTGGATCACTCAATTCAGACATTAGGCAAAATAGTATACGCTGAATCTCAGAAAACTTAAACGCTGTGAACGAAATTTTGATATTAAAAAAATGTACAGAATTTGTCACATTATTTTACATAAAATCAAGTTACATCAACTTAAATCCAGGAATCTATGATAGTTTCATTGAATCACTCAATCCTGACGCATTTAGATTGAGTTATCCTAGAAATACGGCGTTATGTTTACGAATTGCATAATATTTTTTTGTCACCTTGAAGGTAACTTTTGGAAATATCTGTACAAATTAATAACACACCACAAATGCTTATTATTAAAAAGTTATGACAAATCAAACCTTTTTTAATTTGCTGAACTGAGTGATCCTTAAAAACGCATGTAGATAACTACCTCTTGGTATAAAATATACGAAAATACGTAAATTTTGTACTATATTTTGACTAAAATTTGGCATATAATTTATTTGAATACGTCATTTCATTCGCGAGATTTTCGTTTCTATTTTATTGTCAAAGGAAAAGAGACCAATAGGGTGACCATAATACGATTTTATTGGAAAATTAAAGGCTACATACAAAAACATTTTTTCTATTTATTGAAAATATAAATTGCAAAATACGTATGTAAGTACATCTAAAAATTTTGGTGATTCTTTTTTACTAATATATTTTTTTTGCATATCATCATCGTAGCAAATAATGCGCCCATTTATATAGGCATGGACTCGATAATGACCGATTTCACCAGGTTGCATAGGAAGTATAAATTCTATACCTCCTAGTAATCTGTAGGACCTATTTTTAATTAAAACCCTTTCGGGCACATCATATAAATTTACTTTTTCTGTTCCATTTAAGTCCATTGAAATAATATTTGAAAATTCGTAATTATAAACAGTAGTACCTTTACAGGAAATACAAGTTCTCTTTTCATCGCTACAAGGAATTGCATCTTCTAGGGCGTGATAATACAGAAATTAGCCTAATTGACGGTAGAAGAAATAAGGTCTGTCAAACGCCAAAGTTTATATCTACACTACACTACTTCATTCTGTAATAAAAAAAATTAAACGAAAATCTCGCGAATGGAATGACGAATTCAAATAAATTATATGCCAAATTTTAGTCATAATATTGTGCAAAGGACAATGGGCAAAACACACCCAGCTCCGCCAACAATGTAATTGGTATGAATGGATAGATCTATGAAAATCTAGCCTTTTTTATTATGACACCGAAAAAAGAATCCTGGTAGTCAAAAGATATGATACCGTACAAAGTATCCTGGTAGTCAAAAGATATGACACATGGGCATATTTAAGTACCTAAATAAATTCATTTTATAGTACATTCATTTTATATTAATATTAACCATAATAGTATGCCATATCGTACTATACAACCAAATGTACGACAAAGCCTGCCGACCATCCTGCGCTTGCACTTACTGAGACACCTCAAAACGGTTTACGGGGGTTGAACAACGATATTAAATACCCTAGATACACCACGAGCGCTCAAAATGTGTCCCAATCAAACTCCACTCAAGCACTTCTTGGTTCACAGTCACGCGCGGACCGTTACAAAGTCAAGATGCCACAGAGCTCCGCGAAAATAATACTTGAAGTACGAAAAGTGTCGTTTTTTCGACTGGTATGTCAATGTTTGTTAATTTAACGTATTTGAAGTATATTTTGATCTAATACTTACTATAACCTGATTTAACATAAAATATTTGTGATATTCAAATGCATGGTCGGTTATACGTCGCCATATAGCCGTCTCATTTCCTCGCGGTCCGTGCCTGCTATATTGCTAACAGCGCGTTCAGAATTGCGCGTAGAGTCAAAGAGCTAAGGTCTAAATTCATCCGCATATAGCAATAAGTTGTAAAATTTTACGAGGTTGCATTTCGAACTGTTAGAAGTCCTTGACGCATGCGTTTTATTTAAGACCTTATACAGTATGTATTAAAGGTTATTTTCAATATTTAAATAATGCCTTATATTGATTTTGACTACGCGATCATCTTACGGAGCTCCGTGGGTCGTTCAATGTACCTTTTGGACTGGTTTCAGGCATGATTTTGTTCGTGTTGGTGTATCTAGGGTATTTAATATCGTTGGGGTTGAAGGACTTGCAGTTGCAAATAGTCGACTCGTCATACTTCGTTGTGATTGTGCGCTCCCTGTTACTTGATTGATTTTAATCTAACACGCTTTGGACATTGGAACACGATTATCGGTTTTGTCAATAAATATGGATGAACTGAGAGGTCGCTGCGTTTTACATAGAAGATAATTTACTGTAAGGAATTTTGGACTTACTCTAGTGCGACCGAATAACTTAAGGGGAGACCCTTGCACCTTGTGAAGTATTCCCATAATACCTGAGCCCTCTATGTAGGGTCGAACTAACAAACTAAATTAATTCCCTAGTTTCATTAATGTTCGTTCATTATAGTACTTGTTCCTATTTAACTTAAAATAACTAAAGACCCCCGGGATGGAGTTTGATGCGCTTTGGCACAGAGGATCATGACTATAATACCTTTAAAACAACTGTAGTTTAGCTGTGGCTGACGTGGGTGCAGCGTCCATACATTTTTGCCCATTGATTGTCCTTTCAACGTATTTTCTGTATACTTTATACCAAGAATTAGTTATCTACATGCGTTTATAAGGATCACTACTCAGTTCAGCAAATTAAAAAAGGTTTGATTGGTCATAACTTTTTAACTATAAGCATTTGTGGTGTGTTATTAATTTGTACAGATATTTCCAAAAGTTACCTTCAAGGTGACAAAAAATATTATGCACTCCCTAAACATAACGCCGTATTTCTAGGATCACTCAATCTAAATGCGTCAGGATTGAGTGATCTAATGAAACTATCCTGGATTTACGTTAAAATAACTTGATTTTTTGTAAAATAATGTGACAAATTCTGTACAATTTTTAATATCAAAATTTCGTTCACAGCGTTAAAGTTTTCTGAGATTCAGCGTATACTATTTTGCCTAATATCTGAGTGTTTTTGAGTGTCAAATTTTTTGATTTCGGTTATGAGTTTTGACAATTTTACACTAAATGTACGTTTTGGTTTTATTGAAAATTAAACAAGGATCACTCAATTCAGATGCACATGAATGGGGGATGGGGAAGGGAAGAAAATTGAATAAAATCTCACGACATCTCACCAGGGGGCGAGGGAGGGTCAGAAAATACAAAAAAAACACCTCGCGTAATTTATAGACGCTGGAGGCGAGACGCACGCAAAGACAAAAAATATTCAAAATTGGTTCATCAGTTTAGATGTGAGAGAAACATATAAAGATTATAATTGTATGGATTCCTTCAATCAATGACAGCAAACAGAACATACCTATTTGTTTACAAAATATGAGTATTCCCAACTATAGTTATTTGTCAACATCATTCACTTTCCCTGTACAGATGTAAAACCAGACAACATATTGGTGAACGACAGCAAACTGGTGCTCAAGCTTTGTGACTTTGGCTCAGCTTCGCACGTTTCTGACAATGAAATCACTCCATACCTAGTATCCAGGTTCTATAGAGCTCCGGAGATCATACTAGGAGTCTCTTATGACCACGGAATAGATATGTGGTCAACCGCTTGCACCATCTACGAACTGTCAACGGGCAGGATAATGTTCAGCGGCAAGTCAAATAATGAAATGCTCAAGTACTTCATGGACCTCAAAGGCAAGATACCAAACAAGATCATCAAGAAGGGTGTGTTCAGAGATCAACATTTTGACGCTAACTGCAACTTCACATACCATGAACTCGACAAAATCACTGAAAGGGTGAGTGATTTTGTATTTTGTTTTAACTATACTTTGGTATCGATTCTGGCATGATTATCTAAATTTAAAACTAAATTTAACATCAGTCGCTCCTTTTCATTCTGTATAGAGTATAGAGAGTGTAAATTATACACTGTTGTCAAATTAAATTTTTGGTTTAGTGAATCATGCCCTAATCTACAACATTATTTATAAAATTGGACTAGCTTAACACTAATATATAAATGTATCAGGCGAGTACTTTCTCTCTTTGTATATTGACGACCTCCGTGGCCGAGTGGTTTGTACGCCGGGTTTCGGGTCGCCGATTCGAGAGGTCAGATGTTTGTGTGATGAATACGAGCATTTGTACTCCAGTCATTTAAGTTTAATACGTGTTTCTAAATAAATATACTTATATATGTACAATATATGTTTTCTATCCGTTACCCTAGCATCCCATAACACAAGCCTTTCAGTGCTTACTTTGTGGCTAGGCTAATTGGTGTGTGTGTTGGAAATATTTATTTATTTTATTATATCACATAAGAAAGAGGGTTGTCATTCTCCGAATTAAGCCATTTGTCCTGGCTGCATCTGCAAGCACAAACCAATCCGCAGTGTCATCATGGTGGGTTATGGCCCAATCTTCCTATTCCATCTATAGTGAAAACTTGCGCCGAACAGCTGACGATGATGATGTATGTATAGATAATTAATAAAATAAAATTTATTCCTCAGACAAGTTTGAAATGTAATGTACAGTATACCTTGATTGTTTAGCAAGATGTTGACGTTGAACTTGAGCAAAACCACAAACAAATATACTTGCAAAGGCGTATCCTTTTGTATGTGGAATTGCTACTACGCAGGCTTCGTTTACCATGGTTTATGCTTAATCAGTTAACTGGTGTGTACATGGTCTATATTCACGCCGAGTCCCGGGTAGGTAATAGAGCCCCATAAAATAGGTAAAGACATGGTGTGGAGCTCGATGGCGCAAATGGGTTAGCGCGCTCAGCTGTGTTCGTTGAAGTTTTAACTTTCGCAGTGGTCAGTTATTGGATGGGTGACTAAAAATTTACTATCTCGAGCTCCTCCGTGCTTCAGAACCAAAGGGAAGGGCCTGTGCCCCAGTAGTGGGGACGTTAATAGGCTGATGATGATGAAAGACACAGTGTAAATGTCAATTTTCTCTTTCAGGAGAAGGTAGTCATAATGTCCAGTATAAAACCTACGCGGGACCTTCAAACAGAGCTCGCGCCGCCACACCATCGGCTACCGCCAGCCGAGGCCAAGAAGATCGGCCAGCTCAAGGATCTTCTAGAACGTATGCTCATGCTCGACCCGGCCAAACGAGCCTCCGTCAACCACTGCTTAGCGCACCCCTTCATACAAGAGAAGATCTAATAAAACATATTTGAACCAACTTAGTTCGAATGATATGTCTCCTCTTTTGCTGCAAAGTTTTTTCTCCGAATAAATAAATACTGCGGTATATTTTTTTCTAATACATACTACAACTATGTTGTATAGATGATTTGCTTTTCTAATACGAAATCTATGAAGTCTACATAAATTTGACAAGACAAAGATTTGTGACAAAGATTCCATTCTAGCGTTGAGGATTTAATGGGTTTTGTGATTGAAATTCACATTAATTATTTATTTAAGGTGAAGACTCACTCCCTGTTTCATGTAAATATATGAAACGGGAGTGATTTAATTATGTAATGATTGAGTGTAATAGACCATTATGTGAATGGTACATGAAAGCTTTTACAAACTATACTGGCGATTAGGTCGGCGAGCATGTGCCCAATATTTGTGAGCGTCAGAATGGCCGGTCACTACCCATATTTTACATCGAAAAAATTATAGAAAGTTGCTACCTAGTTGCTACTAATCGTTAAATAGTTGCTACCCCCGATTACAACAAAATAAACTACTTTTTAGTCCTATTGCTTTAAAAAAATCTCTATTTAGTTATGCAGTTTGTTCTCACTGGATAGGTGACCAGCCATTCTGACGTCAGAATGGCTGGTCACCTATCCAGTGAGAACAAACTGCATAACTAAATAGAGATTTTTTTAAAGCAATAGTTGCTACTAGGTTGCTACCTTAATATATATCGTTTAGGACCTCCTAGCTTTTAAGGATAAAGAGTTATAATCAATTGAGCGTTCAGACATTATTAAAACTGAACGCCTGTAGAATTATACGAGCAAATTCGAAATCAAGTGCTTAATGGGTATTGCATAAGCAGGCGCTGGGTAATAGAATTTATTTTAAAAGTTGTCTACTATACATTATGTAATGTATGTTTTTAGTTGTAATAATATAATGAATAATATTATTTTACCGTGCGAAACAAGACAAAATAATGTTAATTTCTGTATAGAGTTATTTTTGTTTGTTTGTAAAAAATATTTCTGATAAGGGTAGGTAAATTTTTACTTTATTATGCAGAACAGTCTATTGTTATTTCTGGTACAATTATCGCATTCAATGTTTGTATTGTTTTATAATAGTAAATTAATACCAATTGTTGAGGAGCTCGATGGCGCTAGCGCATTTGGCTGCAATTGTTAAAGTTAAGCAACATTCGCAATGGTCGATCATTGGATGGGTGACCGAAAATTTTCTATCTCGAGTTCCTCCGTGCTTCGAAAGGCACGTTAAGCTATCGGTCCCGGCTGCATCTGCAGTCGTTAGCACCCGCCAATCCGCACTGGGGCCGTGTGATGGGTCATGACCCAATCTCCCTATGCCATCCATAGGGAAGGCCTGTGCCCCAGCAGTGGGAACATTAATAGGATGATGATGATGATCTTACTAGAACTTTTACTTTTTACTTACTTTGTAGAACTTTACAGATGATTCGATATTTTCTGATACACCAAGTTTCATAGAGAACTGGAGAGGACAGGGCGTACCGAAGAGTAAAAAAATTAAAGTTGAAAACTATTTTCTTACTCTCTAATGGAAGCAGATTTAAGATTAGCAACAACATTATTATTATAAATAACACTTGTGCATTGGATTCGGTTGCTCAAACATTAGCCTTAGTATACGTTGATGAACTTAATAATGTTATAAATCAGACTATAAAAATAGTGATCATATATTTTGCGAGCTGATCAGATCATTGAGTGAAAAAAAAATTATGAGGTTATAAGATTAGATCTGTAATTGCTCAAACTTATTTCAAATCAGATCATAAAGAAACTACAGTTGAAATTGATTGCCAATGTAACGTTTTATACATTTTCGACCGAATTTTACTTGATTTCTCGCTACATAGCGCACATGAGAAACAATCGTGTACCAACCTCGTTTGCCCCATAAATAATGTCATTCAGAAAGGTATCCGTTTTGCGTGTTCCTAACATACCTATTACTAATTTACAAGAAGCCGCAAAATCACTAATTGCAAATGTTGACGTGACAACATGCCATCGTTCCAGTTGCAATGGGATCAAGTCATTTGAATTAACTTTACGCGATATTATTGCTTTTGAAACTTCAGATGACTTTATGTCGCTATACGACGCACCAGTAAAATTAGTTTTAAACAATAATCACTATGAATTAATTTCAATTATTGAATTTGTTCCACCTGGATTTGGTGAAATAGGCCATTACGAGGCACATTGCAAACGTGGGAATATATGGCAGTGTTAAAACGATCTGAATAATAGAATTACAAAAAGTAATAAGAAAGTAATAGCACATTGTATAATATATTTAAAGAGAAGAAACACAACTTTTTTTTTTATTATTTTTTTATTGTTAGTCAATATTTGTTTTATTTATTGCATTAATCACTTTAAATAAGTTTGGGTATTGCATAAGCAGGAAGTGGCGCCTGTTCAAGCAATACCATTATGCACTTGATTTCGAATTTGCTAGTATAATTCTACAGGCGTACAGTTTTAATAATGTCTGAACGCTCAATTGATTATAACTCTATATCCTTAAAAGCTGGGAGGTCCAAAACGATATATATAAAGGTAGCAACATAGTAGCAACTATTGCTTTAAAAAATCTCCATTTAGTTACGCAGTTTGTTCTCACTGGATAGGTGACTCCATTCTGACGTCAGAATGGATGGTCACCCTAAAAAGTAGTTTATTTTGTTTTAATCAGGGGTAGCAACTATTTAACGATTAGTAGCAACTAGGTAGCAACTTTCTATAATTATTTCGATGTAAAATATGGATGTGCGTGTGGACTGAGTGATCTTTTCAAAAAACTCATCCAACCACAACCAAATTATAAGAGGATTTAGGAAATAATTGTGAAAACTTAATAGTAAGGTATAAAATTTGTGATACCTAAACAAAGAAAGTTAGAACTAATTAACTGGATCACTCAATCTGGACACCTGAAGAATAAGCCATAACGCGTATCCAAGAATATACTACCTATGTGTTTTATATTTTGTATTTGAAATAATCGTGAAGAATTTGTGAAAGCTGCTAAACAAATTTTCGATTCATTTCAAAGCCACGTTTAAGATTTAGAACGGTTTATATGGATCACTCAGAATGCACTATGTTCATTTGAGTGATCTTTTAAAACACTACCTTATACTGAAAATGTATGAAACATTATCATGTTTATTATAAATTATGCTTCTGGGAAAATTTGTGAAACAAAGATCGGGATTGAAATCTTACTGGTTTAAGAGAAAATGAAAATCTTGTTTTTTCTCGATCGTCCCAACTGAGTGATCCTTATCTTGAACTATATTTAATAAACCCAAACTTATAGGTAGAAGGTAGTTACATCAGAAATTGTGAAAAATGTTGTACTAAAATTTGACGAACCAATCGTCCCAGTAAGTGTTATATTTTAAAATATAACTCATTTTTTACAATAAGGAAAGCGTTGAGTAGGGTGACCATATCGGTTTACTTGAGTACCGAGAGTTGTGTAAGTTTTGTTTTTAGAAGTTTTAAAGATGTTTTTAGGGTGTTTTCACTACTTAATACATAATTTCAACATAAAATGACGTTTTTAATTCACAAATTTTCAGCAAAGTTAGGTATTGTCATACTGTATTAGGTTTATCATACTAAGGAATTCTACAAAAAAAAAAAGATCAGAGCAGATCAAATTTTCTGCAAAGTTAGGTATTGTCACACTGTATTAGGTTTATCATACTAAGGAATTCTACACACAAAAAAAGATCAGATTTTTTTAAGTAACCAAAGAAATTAGCTTTTTATTATTCTAAGTTTATTTCTAACATTCATAGTCTACTAGAATGTTACCTAATCGATAAATCCGTAGGACAAAGTATGTAAAATAACTGGTTCTTCTTCTTTGCTGTTATACATTTTTCCCATCAAATCGTCATAACAGACTTTTTCGTTATGGACACCATGTTCTCTGTAGTGGCCAATATTATCGGGACTTCATTCATTGCACTACCTCCATCATTACCCCATTGTGGCACAACGATGCCTAATATCAAAGTACTTGCTCGATGCTTTGGATAGGTTACAGCGGCGCGCGATCCGTATCATAGGCGATGAGGAGGTGACTAAACAATTTCAGCCTCTTCAATTACCTCACAATGTTAGCATTGAATAGAGTAGTCGAAAAAAAATCCGACAAAATAAAAAAGTACAAGTACCCTACTCAACGTTTTCCTTAAGGATTGTAAAAAATGAGTTATATTTTAAAATATAATACTTCAAATTTTAGTACAACATTTTTCACAATTTCTGATGTAACTACCTTCTTCCTATAAGTTTGGGTATATTAAATATAGTTCAAGATAAGGATCACTAAGTTGGGACGATCGAGAAAAAACAAAATTTTCATTTTCTCTTAAACCAGTAAGATTTCAATCCCGATCTTTGTTTCACAAATTTTCCCAGAAGCATAATTTATAATAAACATGATAATGTTTCATACTTTTTCAGTATAAGGTAGTGTTTTAAAAGATCACTAAAATGAACATAGTGCATTCGAGGGATCCATATAAACCGTTCTAAATCTTAAACGTGGCTTTGAAATGAATCGAAAATTTGTTTAGCAGCTTTCACAAATTCTTCACAATTATTTCAAATACAAATTATAAACACATAGGTAGTATTTTCTTGGAAACGCGTTATGGCTTATTCTTCAGGTGTCCAGATTGAGTGATCCAGTTAATTAGTTGTAACTTTCTTTGTTTAGGTTTCACAAATTTTATACTTTACTTTAAGTTTTCACAATTATTTCCTAAATCCCCTTATAATTTGGTTGTGATTGGATGAGTTTTTTGAAAAGATCACTCAGTCCACACGCACATAAATATGGGTAGTAACCGGCCATTCTGACGCTCACCAATATTTAACCTGGGTGTCGTGCTGATGCTTTGAAACTTTGTGCCACTTTTTGTGTGCATAATGTGTAGGAGTCTTAGTACGGTCATATAATGGTAATAAGCAATCTCTACACATGTAAACCTTTGACGGGAAACGATTATAGAGAAGAAAATTTTATTAAAATTTCTAGTGATCAAATGGATTGTTTTGGATATTTTTATACAAATCATCAATTTGTGTAGATTAAGAAAGTGTGAATTTTTGTGTACAAATATTTTGTCCGTAAGTTGGTTCAAATTACTCGATGGCATTTTTTGCGTACATGGTTGTTTACAAACGTTTGCAATAATATAGATTTTCACATGTAGGTATATTTATTGTGAGTGAGATTTTTCAAATGTATTTTCTGTCTGAAAATATCAGAAAATGAAAGAAAGAAAATTAATAAGCCTTATTAATACCATCATTGCAAATGCATCCATATTATAAGAACATACGCCGCATGGCATCGTGCAGTGTCAATGGTGCATTAGTGTGTTATCATAACAGTAGATGTATTACTTTCATCACTACTACACTTTT